TTGCTACAGGATTTTATTGAAGTGCACAGGTAATGAAAGGAATGTAATATTTAGCGTGTTTAAAAGAAATTGAACGAGGCAATGCCTAAAGAATTTCAATCGCGTTGTGTGCTATCCAGTAGAATGTCGTAAGCTTGCTACATGAAGCGGTCTGAGGGCCTTGTGCAAGTTTTTTTTTTACAGTAACGCAATCGAAACGTTACCGTATTTAACCTTCTGATAGGTTAATTCTGGTCAATTATAGTGTGAGCCAAGTTCAAGTTTATCTAACGTTCACGCGATTGAGACGTTAATGACGTTCGGCGCTCTGATTCGCCCACTTGAAGTAACCTACCAATAAGGTAGTTGAAAGCGGTAACATTTTGATTGCTTTAACTTAAAAAATAACTCGCACTCAGCACTTAGAGCGTCAAACTTCATAATTGTGTCAAAACAGACTTGCACTACGCCTTCCGTTTGTGGCCTATGTATTACTCACAAAAGGAACGAGTCTACAGATCAACCAACTTCATACCCCTAGGGAACAGAGGTATTCCGTGTAGTTTTATTTCTTCTCTTTACAATAGTTCACTTGTTACACAAAGATTTATTGGCGATCTTTTCAATTTGTTCTGAGATCCAAATAAATGCTGTTATTGTAGCAAAGTCAGATGTCGTTTTGGTTATGTTTCTTTTCTCATTTCGAAATTAGATTTTGTTGTGCCATTTATTAAAGGTATCGTCGAACTTTGAAGTAATTTGATAACGCTTGATTGTGTAATTAAAACTTTTGAGTCTATAATGGTATTTCACTGTATAGGTACCTACTCTATTATGCGTTGATTATTTACCATTTTAATAACAAACTTCGGGAAATCAAAAGGAACCTTTCCTTTTCTGGTCGAACTCACAGTTGGTCGTATTTTTATTTTTATAAGTTCATTCCCTACATTTTATTATTCAACCCAGTTTTATAGTAAACATGCTTATGAGAACTGACGTTTGTCACGCTACTAATAACTACAAGTTGTAGCAAGGAATGGCTACAAAAAGGCACAACATTTGTTTTCCCAATCAACCGAAACTTTAAGCTTTGTATTGATTTATTTTCTTTCCCCGAAAATCACAAAATAAGCACCTAGTTTATTGAAATATTACAAAAATGTTATCTTAACCTGTTAAACAATTTACGAATCATCCTTTGGCACATTATTTGGATAATTTGTTCAAAGGGTAAATATTTTCAATAGAATTTTAGCTTTAGAAAAAGTAGGTACAATGGCGGACGTGGCGCGCGATCGTCGGAAAGAATTTCCAATTCACAGTACTTTTTACTCTAGTTTCAAAGAATAACGAAGCGTGCCGAGTAAGATATTTCTTGTGGACTACCAGGGACATGTAAAATGTCTGCATAACCACTACCCTCGTCTGCTTGTTTCTGCTATTATGGTAATTTATCATTGCTTTCTACGTCTATGATTCTATCTAGCTAGAATAAAAATTCGCTGTGGTACTTTGGAAGCAAATTGAAGGCAGATTTCAGATCTCTTAATATATTATTTAGGTGTCTTCATTTATTTGAGATTGATTTTTTAGGATTTTAGGTTTTAATATAAATATAATCGTAACTAAGTTTTAAGTGCAAATTAAAATTGATTGAAATGATTGATGTTAGCTCCAAACACACAGAGGACTTCACAATATTGGACACCTAATGCCGAATTATTTGAGAGTCTGATCTAAGCTAACGGTCTTTGGGTGCAAGACACATTATATTTATTTAAATCTAAAATGCAGTAGCAGTATACTTCTAAAAAAGAAGATTCAAGAAACAGTTTAGCATGATGGTAAGTTTTTAACCCTTTTCATGTGTCAGTGTTGTTTTTTTTCCATGGAACATTTTACTTGAATTTACATGTAATTAATATTTTACATGGAATAAATTTTATGATATATGTACACGTACTGTTAAGTATACCGTTTAAGAGAAAATATAACTAATAAGAAAGTTAACCTGTGATAATTATCGTTTGTTTTGTTTGCTAATTAGTAGCACAACGTTGTTAATAATCTCAAAGGCTTTAAGAAAAGGTAATGTTCTGCAGGAAATAGTAAGAGGTTGTATAAACCTGAGATCTAGGTTACCTACATTGAGTTAGGTAATACCTTTTATTAAACTTTATACTAAGATTTTATGAATATAATATTTTACTGAAAATAGTAATCATTGTCTAGTAGTATAGTATGTACTTTATGTTATTATTTAATTAGTAAACATTGTTAGGTAAACCAGAGAATAATATCTTAGGCGTGGACCAGAAAATTGTATGTAACCCTACTTTGGTATCTTTTACAAGTACCAATAGACACTCTCATAAATAAAAACAAACCATTTAACCTTACGTAAGAAGAGGATCAACAAATACCAAAACCGCGTTAGACAAAGGTCTCTAGAATCAAAATTACTCAGGCAAAGACAAAGTAAATGTTTGTTTAACGGGATAATAAATTAAATAGAAGTCTATTCTCGGCCACGGTCTGTATTCACACAGTCTAGCAGATATTTGTTAAATATTAACTCATCGGAAGGACCATTCTTAGCTGAAGGTAGCATTAGCACGGAAAGCGAGACTTACCACCTTTTGAAATATAAATTTGTGGCTGACCCTCGCTGAAGGTATTTGCGGAATAATTATTTCAAAACGAACTTCCAACATTGAAGATCTAGTTTGATTTTTTTTTTCTTTTTAGATGTAGATTAAATGTTCATCAAAATTTGTTATTACGTTATAAACACTTTTTTGATATTGCTTTAGATCATACAGATTTCTTTAAACGTTATGAACAATAGAAAAGTAAATATGCAAAAGTCTATCATTTGTGTGGTTATTGTAATTTAAAGATAGACTTAAGTTTGACATTGTTTAGAGTTACTGCTGTAAAAACTGTATAAAACATACATAGGTATTGTACATTTTCACATTAGAAGATTGCCTTATAGAGAACCAGAATTTAAAAATGAATTTAGACTTAAAAGTAGTACTATCACCGCTACCCACCAGTATTCAACAACTAAAGCAAATATTGCAATTGCTTTTGCAATTTATGCAATATTGCCACTTGTATTAACATCGAACTACATCGCGAAACCAGAGACTAGAATATACAATGTTACTTGAAGTTCCAAACTCTGTCACAAGTTGAAATGTTTGAACTTTAAACTTAATACTTGTGGAAGATATTAAGGTATGTAGGCATAGTTCAATGCTTTTGCTTGGGAGGTATGAAAATACCTGCATATAATTATTAATGTGGATAATCTTCAAACTTATTCTTATATATATGTAGCTTTATACTTATCAAGTTTTAAAACGAAAACTCTCAGAGCATTCACCTTCTTCTCCAATTCAATAGTCTAACTCCTTTATGGTAAAACTTTAGTTTATATTAAAAAGTTTGCTATATCTTGGATGCACTTTAAAATACAAATCTTATGTGGGTACTACATAGCTCACCAACAACTGGAAAAACTTCGAATCATGAAACATAATGTTTGGAGTGTGAATAGAATCCGTGAAAGAATGCGCAGAAGTAGATTGTTTAACTTCTGCGTTTTGTAGTCGATGAGAGAAAGCAAGATGTAAGGCCATATTAGTCCCACAGGATAGTATTCCAACACAATCGAATTAAGACCAAACTGTCTTAAATTTTTTACTTAACATTCGCTTGTAGTAAACTTCTCTTATAAATACGATGTTACAAAATTGACCTTCGTTCAAAAAGGTTCTAAGTAATGCTTCGATTAAAAGGCATAAGCCATGGTATAAGCAATGGGGTTCCTAAGAAATGTGCGCTCAAAGCAAGTAATAGTCCCAAGTTTGAAATGACAGACAATAATTAACGTTAGAAGCAGACGGTACTTTGTAAGAAGTACCATTTGTTACAATGTCACTTCTAAAACTCAAGTGTTATTTACTCAGAAAACTTTGCGAGATTTAACTTTGTTTACTCGTACCACAACCTTGGGCAGGTCCAAGTAACTACCGCAAGCAGTACTCGTGGATGTGGCCTGCCTTCTACATTTATTTGAGTGAAAATCTCATAAATTAATGCTAAAGTTTGCATGTTTTGAGTGTTTCGTACGCATTCATGCAAAAACTGCTGTACTGATTAAGATAAAATTCTGCACATACTAACCGCGAGTTTACAACGCATCGAAATTGAAAAACGTGTTTTATTTTGGGATCGTGAAAAGATGTATTCATTTAATGTCAATATAAGGAAAATATACGTGTAATACTAATCTCGTTACTATTAGTAAGTACTACAAACTGACGACATTGTTTAAATTTTATAAATAATAATTTGCACTTACACGCCGATCATTATTCAGACACGTAAAATAGGTAGACTGTCTGCAAGCGATAAAATATGCCGCAAATATACAATACTCGGTTCGACGCAAGTAGCTATTTGCGTCGAGAGTAAAGTTTGCCTAAGTTTGAGGTTACAAAGTTTAGCGTCCGGTTGAATGGACGATCAAAACGCGAGTACAAAATAATAGTAACAAGCAGTAGCGACGCAACTGAACTACAAAAGTCAAAAGTCTAAGTATTTATTTCAATTATTTCTTAATTAGGTACTGTTGCAAGGTCAAAATTGAATTCACCATCAGTCTGTCGTGTCTGTCAGAGAAACTAGATGCTCGTTCCAAAGTATACTTTTGTATAGAGAAGCACAAGAATCAAACTGCAACGTCACCCTTTTTTTTAAATATAATAGCTATGTTATAAGAGAACTAGCTACTTCTGCGCGTTCTCCTTGGCGATTATTGATCATAGCATGATGTTTTATAGCCTATAGCCTTCCTTGGTACATGGACTATCCAACACAAAAAGAATTATTAAATTCGAATCAGTAGTTTCGAAGATTCGTGCGATCAAAAAAACAAACAAAAAAACAAACTCTTCGGCTTTATAACACTAGTATAGATTATTAACTTACCGAAAGTCGTTGTTTGCCAGGTCCGTCTTGATTCGTTTCTAGATCGCGTGGGTCCTTAGTTCGTATTAGCTTGGTGAAGAGGATGTGCGTGTCACGTTTGACCACTCCCCAATCTACCTTTTGAAAGCGTCCCATGAAGCTGTAACAAATATACCACTAATAGTATCACTTCAAGTCATCAAGTACTTACGAAACCTGCTTTGCATTACCATTTAAAATAAAAAGGGCGCATGTACTACGCACTCCTTTTCCATTTTTTCTTAATCTTTGTCTACTTTTATTTATTTAATTAGGTTCACCAATAATTGCTACGTTTTGACACGCATAGTTTATACAATTAGGAGAGTCTTAAATTACAGTACAACTTTTAAAGACAAATACAGCATGCCTTATTTTTCGGGATTTGTGAACAAAGACACAAAAGTCATTAATGTGTAGAACTTATTTTAATAAAAAATATTAATAGAAGAATTTTTACCCAAAGAAATAATATAACATAACTGGGGTAGGCAGAGGTGCACATTACGGCACTTAATGCCACTGTACAATGTAAGACCTACTTTTCACTGTTTATGTTATGAGTCCCATGTAATAGGGGGTGAGCCTATTGCCATATACCGGGCACATTTCCAGACTCCGTGCTACTACTGTGGTTTTTATAAACCCACTAATACTTTGCCCGACCCGGGAGTCGAACCCGAGACCTCTTGCCTTTTGCAGTCTATTAAATATCTATCAAATAATATAATAATGCATTATATCAGTTACTATTGCTATCCATTTGCTGTTATTCAACGAGGCGACTCTTTTACTTTATTTAGCCGACATTAGATTGGTTTTATCTACTTACTTCTTATCTACTTCTCCAACACAATGTAAATACAACATACATGTTATATACTAAATAGTCATAGGTCGTACATAATAATAAACATATATACACAAACAATTGCTTGTTATATAGGCATGGCTTTTTAAAGAAAATAAATCCATTGTACTTACTCGCTCATTCCTGGGATGCGCCGCCATGAACCCAGGAGGATGTCTGTGGAAAAAGAAAATGTACAGGTTAGTCATTTAATTAGATACTTAGGTAATATTTATTAGTATTTTAAATCTATCAGCGTATAGCGTTTTAATATTTAAATATTTGGCTTCAAAATTAATTATATAATAATTTTATTAAAACAAAAACGTGTTTGATTTTGGCCCCGACACGCAAAAAATATGACGATTATGGGAATGCTCAGCATTTATATGAGTTTCAATTGTTGCTGCTGTACGTTGTCAGTCAGTATTGAGGACACGCAATTTTCAGTAATTTGATTCGGTAGAGGGACAATTAAATGATTTAGACAAACACGCTAACAGTATACCTACCTATAGAATTTTTGTAAAATAACAAGACAAGTAGAAACTATCTAAGTCTAGGTTTCTTATCGCTGATCTTGATACCTAACAAGTAACCTTCAGTAGGACAGACAGTTCTTTTTTAACAAAATTATTTTATCAGACATCGGACTGTATAAAGTATATACCTACGTTTTCATTATAAAAAAACATTTACTTCGCAATAGTATTCTATGCGGTATTGTAATTTTACATCACATCTAGACTTCTAAATTAGTTTTTACGATTACAAAATTATTGTTTCTTGACGATACGCACGATCGATCGACAGATAGTAGCATAAATAATATTGTCAATCATACTATGTACTAACCATGTAGCCACAAGGAACACAAATGTTATAGGTACAATATCCAATTTTCGCTATTTAACATTACATTTTCCCGGGCTTTTTAGCTTCACCTTTTTGGGAAAAAGTAAAAGGGGCGTTATGTTATGTCACGTTCAAGATATCGACAAAACCGTAAAGTTGAATTATCAACTAAGTACTCCGGTTACCATAATGTCAAGGTTAGCCAAATGTTGTATTTGAGGATAATGAATATTCTAGAAATATCGAAAGCACAACCGGCAATGTAGAATTCAAAGTGTAACAGATAACAGAGATTCGGTCGGGAAATAGTAACAGAGTTATTTTACGATAAAAGATTTTAAAGGAAAATTCGATGTTTACAGTAAACTCTGATTTACGTAGGACACGTAGAGTTCAATTTAAATAGGTGTCATGTTTATCTACCGGCTATTTACTTTCGCTTAAACGCTTTGCAGTTTGCACACTGGCTCGATACTGAAGCCTTGTTTGCATTGCGACAGCGCCACTCGGTGTACACACACGTTTTGTGAAAGCGTTCAAAGTGTGGTTTTTTATTTTCAATTAGTTGTAATGTACACCAATGGCATGGCTGAACGAGTATCCAATAGCAGGTCAGCTTTGATACTTTTTGACGCGTGATGTTGTTTAACAGTGACCGTTGAACTGTGACTAAAACAGAGGAAATGTTTGCTTACTACACTTTCGTGTTTATTTTCCACCAGAAATATATTGGTGCGACGGTATATGGCGAATGCTGTACTCGCGTGCAGCTAGTGAGCATATGACGCATTGTGCGTTGGAATGCGTCTGCTTTTTTCATATTGACACTGCGATATTCTTGAACGTAACAAATGCCCCTTATTTGTACCGCACATTCACGTGATAATCATATCTTATTTTCAAGTAAGTCAAAATATGTCATTCAAATAAAGAATTCAACGTCCAGATAAATGATTTATCCGAAAGAGAAGACTAGCAACATGAAAGAAAAATCTGAATATCGTCAATCACTGAAAAGGTCACTTAACACAGTCTTGGTTTAACATTAGACATAAAATAATTTCAGAACTGATTTCATAAAAGTTATTCACATGTTTACTGTCATTTTGACATCAAAAGCTTACTTTCAACCGGTCTGTCAGTATATTTGTGAAGACACAAAGAACAGTCCTTACAATAGTTCCAACAAGTCTTTTCACTGTCAATCCAAGACGATTTTGTCACAAAATAACTTTTATACAGACCTGCCATTTATCTACGAAATACTGTTACAATCATTCCAGTTATTTCGAAAAATGGCTTGGGCAGGCAGATAAATGTTTCGAAACATCAGTTTATGTTTAGTTAACACGCAAATATTCGTCTAAACTTAATGTTAAGCTTTTATTGTAATTTGTTAAAATACAAAAAGTATTACTGGGTTTTTTATAAATTCTCAGTAGTAGCACGGAGTCTGATGGCAATAGGCTCACCCCTATTACATGGAACTCTTTACATAAATAGTAAAAAGTGGGTGTTACATTGTACAGTGGCATAATGTACACCTCTGCCTACCCCTTCGGGGATAAAAGGCGTGATGTTATGTTATGTTATGTTAAAGTACATTGCCTCATTGGCCGAGTGGTGGACTGCTGGGCAAGGAGTCTCGAGTCGATTCCCGGGTCGGCACAAAATACTACAGGGTTTTTAAAAAAATTCTCAGTAGTAGCATGAAGTCTGGAATTGTGCGCGGTATATGGCAATAGGCTCATCCCCTATTACATAGGACTCATAACATAAACAGTGAAAAGAAGGTGTTACATTGTTCAGTGGCATTGAATGCCGTAATGTTATGTTAAAATACAATGTCTAAGATTGATTGATGAATTTTTAGTGTGACTAATAAATTGACCATTGGATTTCGCAATATTGTACAAGTTTATGACTATAGGTTAACCTGCAGATTCACATCAGAACGCTTACATCCAATACATGACACAACTGGAGAAAAATGTGTCTTACATTATAAGAATACGAAGACCTCTGCTAGGCTTTCAAGGATGAAAGGTCGTGACTTTATGTTAAAATTACAACTTTGAACTAAAAGTAGGCTAAGGTTAAGATAAGAAACGATTGATGGAAGAAAAATTAAACGAAAAAAAAGGTCTGTATCTATATTGTGTAAGGTTATTCATGAAATGAATGAACGAACTTCCAATTACTATAAATGCCATGAAGGTTACTTTTCGACGGGAAATGTTTCAATCTAAAAATAAAAAGATATATTTTTATTCAAACAATTCCGACGGAGTATCCTTACTTCGGACGAGAGTGCTTTTGTCTGGGGCTCCTTAAACTGTCCTTGAGATATATTTTTTTTTACGTAATGCTTTTACTTTTCAACTTTAGTTATGCTTAGTAATATGCTAAAAACATAGGTACCGTGAAAGAAAATGTTAATTTATTGTAAATATATGTAAACCTCGATAAAAAAATGGTTTAATAAGTAAAGAACCAAGTGCCCAATGTAGTAACTAGGTACTCAATTAATAAAAGAACGTTTGAATAAATTGTTTTAATCTACATTGCAAGTGCCATCAATTTACGATATCTGACGTTGATATACTTCACGGAAACTAGAGCACCTTCATTCATTTTGTATTAAAACCACTTCGTATTAGGTGTGGTAACAGGGTGGGCAATAAAAACGATGTGTTGAGTGTATCGTAAATTAAATTTATTGATGAAAAAACAAGTTCTAACCTGCTCTAGTGTGAACAGTAAAGTCATTCTACTCCAAAGAATTAATAGTTATAGCAAATCTAACAAACATTTTATATAATTCACGTGGAATACCAGTGCTAATATCTAGTTACAAAACCGTAACTACAATGCTACGAAACGTCTACGAAACCGCTACGCAGCTACGGTATTCGTAGCATCCCGAAACCACCCGAGTACGTTTTGGATACGGTATAACGGAATTAAATTATTCCCGCTAAAATTAGATGTACTCGGGTACCGGAATTATTGAAAAAGTGCCAAATTTTGCGGCTCTGCCATCGCTTCAGACCAAATTCAATTCTTTAAGTCAAATTCTAATTTGCTACGTGCTTTATCTTTTACTAAAGATATTTTTCGTTTTGTTCCATCGACTATTATATTACGTTCAGTAAAATACTAAATTAATAATGTTCTTCTTGTGTTCCATTAATAATATAATGTATAACCTGAAACTTACATTTGTATATATTTAAATCTAAATACCAATACATAAATCATAATTTCCATTTAACCCTTCACGGAACTGTCATCAAAATGAAATTTCTAACACCCAAAATCCATCGTCCGACGAATTATTGCTACAATTCCGTAACGTTCAGCCCTCGTTAATCAATTATGTCCAATTCCAGTAGAATATCGAGCCTCTATGATATATATCATTGTGTTTATATAACAACATAGCGTTCACTATGTGGGGCAATATGCTACGAAATTTCGTGTTACCAAAATTCCTTGAATTTCTTTGGCCACTTGTAATCTTAGTTACCTGACTTTGATACGAGGAAACTGGAAATAGTTTTGAAAGTTCCCTTTTTCGCTGAACAGGCGTAGGGATGAGGCCCATGAAATTCTAATATTGCGGTCACAAGGGTACTATGTGATTCTGCGGGGTAAAAGGTGAGGCTTTTTTGTGATTGGAATATTTTCTTGTCTGTAGTTTCGATATATTCGGAATATATGTCTTTGAAGACGAAATTGCGTGCATTAAATAAGTAGATTAAGGCACAGTTTTATTGAAGAAAGTAGTACTTTTCTGAATACGCCAAGAAAATGAATGCTACCTTTGTTTTTTGACTATACCACTTCCTAGGTAAACCAAACGTTTCTTTTGTAAAAGTTACTCTAACAAAGCCACTTTCTGCACACAAGTTGCTTAAAAAGTAAAAAATTAAAAAAGAAATCACAAAGCACAAGCAAATTATAATTAGTACGCGAACTTAATTAGTACTCACGTAATATAAAATAGAAGCAAATAATTCTAGTAAAAAATCTTCGCTCTCCATCCTTTTTAAATTGACCCTAATTAAGAGAACATGACATTAAAAATGTGCTTTGGGAAACGCTTTGTGTAAGCCATCAGGTTATTTTTTATCAACTATTTTTTAATCTGTTGTACAGAAGTAAATGAAGCGATATTTCATTAAATTCTCTACCTTCTGAGTTCTTTTATTTGCAATGCATTTTTTCTTTTCAACAAAGCCATCCCTCGTCTCAAAGCTAAATAAAAAAAATCTCGGTTTCCTATAAAATATTATGGCGTGTTTTTCAAAGATCTTTCT